AGCAAGTAATCCCATCGGGTCTTTTTTCGGTTTCGCAATCAAAACTAAATTGGCACTCTTCCATATTCCAGGAAAATCCCCTTTCTTAAGGCAGCTATTGAAAACTTTCAGAAATATATTTGGATTGGCATCGACACCCGCCATTAGTAACTCTGGAGTTATTCCGTCCGGCCCTGGAGCCCTTTTTTTCTTCATCATTCAGTGACGGATTCTATTGCTGATGTAACCTCTTCTCTTGTTGTGGTGATTTCCATATATGGTATAAATGTGGTGTTACCACCGCCACCTGGTTGCGACGGTTGGGTAAGGGATACTTTGTTTTAGCACTGGTAAAGGCCTTTCTATACTGCGGTAGCGTGCCACCATGGACTTTGGTTAAAGTCTCACTGAAAATCTAGGAAACTTTGAACGGATACTTTTTAGTATTCTGATTGCCTTTTCTAGTGCGGGTTCTTGCTACCTGAGCTGTACGCAGTTAGTTGGCATGCTAGCTCGGTTTGTTCATGGAACCAGGAGTCGAGAGTCGTATTTTAAGACACAATCAGGACACTGTTTCGAGATCCGAATGATAACCCTTGGCTCTTGACACGGTTTCGTCAGAAATTTAGCGACTTAATCTCGCTGAGTAAAGAAACCAATTAATTGTATTACGAAGCAAAATAAAAGGAGTTTTAGGGCCGTTTTGTTACAGTGGTGTCCTATATTTTCTTTTCTCCTATGGAGTGCGCTCTGGTTTCCTTGGTTTTTTGTTTTGCCTCAATGATTTCCTTTATTCTTTTGACTACTATTTCATTTTTTTCAACATTGTTGATGACTCGTCCGTCTCTGGTTTGTCTTACAGCCGTAACTTTGTTTAGTTCCGCTGCGTTTGTTAGGTTTTGTTTTATATCTTTTACTATGTCTCTGTAGTCCCGGTCCTTGTTCTCTACCACCACTGCATACGTCCTTCTTTGTGTTGGTGCCACGGTATTTGTTGTAGTTTGCGGTGTCGTTGTATAAATCACCGCTTTCTGTTTTGATTTATGGAAGGTTGCCTGTTGCCTGCACCATCTTTCTTAGTGTTTTAAGTGGGATCCATTTTATATGGTGGAAAGCGACGAACTCTGCCATCTCCGTTTCCCTTTTTATCCTTTTAATGTGTTCAAAGAGCATCTCCATGTCTTTATTTGGGGTTTGTTATTTTTATTATTTTTTCGCCCTGCGCTGTGTCCTTCTGCGAGGCTATTTTACTGATAATTTCTAGGGTGTTCTCGATCCACCTACGAATGGAGAACCATACGAAAATACAGGGTGAATCTGAAAGTGAGGGTTTTTTTTTTAACAGGGTATATATCTCGCCAAAATAAGTTGCTTGGCAAAAAATTGTTCATATAAAAAATTTAAGATAACGGAGGTACAGTTGCGATCAAAAAAAAGTAGTACAAAAATTATTATTCCCAATTTGAGCTCCCGGCGTAACTTAAAAAATTTTGACAGGCAATGACATATTCTAGGTTAAAAACGGGTGGAAAAATGTCAAAATAATGTCATCTGAAGCTTTCTAGGTTAAAAACTTGTCAAAAATGCCAAAAATATGTCATTTTTGGTTATGAATTAAATTAATGTATAATAGACCAGGAGATTTTCGAGATTTTTCTTGTACTACTTTTTTTTGATCGCAACTGTACAGGTATTTTAGGGTTTTGTGCATTAAAAATCTAATTTCAATAATAATCTAAGATTTAGTAGAAAATACATATACGTGCATACATCAACGTGCAAACAACAACGTGCATGGCGCTTTTGTACAGACGCTCGCACAAAACTGCAGTCTTCCTATTCCTGCTACGGTGTTCCGAGTGTGCATACAAAATTGCAGATTCAAAAACGCGACGATATTTTGCATACACATTGATGTTTTTGTTTGCACGTTCATGTATGTGCGTACATGTTTTCAGACATCAACGTCCGTGTGTAACCGCCTATTAAAAGTGTTCAAATTGGAGCACTCTGTACAAATTTAATGTGTTTTTCCTTATTTTTCAAAAATTTGGAATGAAAAGTGAACCTTGGGAGTTAGTACTAGCGGTTAGTCTCAAAAAAGGGCGATATTTGGCAAATTTGTCTAAAAGCACTAAATTTCACAGGGACGTTTTTTAGATCATTTTAAGCGATTTGGCCCGCAGGGCCAGCCCAATTTTTGACTGTGACTCAAAATGGCGACGATTTTTCAAAATGGTGAACCATAAATCGATAATACTTATTTACCAACGGTTTTAAACGTTCAGCATGTCGTTTTTAACTAATTTGGGACGCAGATTTCATTAAAAATACTAGGTTTTACATTACTATTCAAGTTCATATGAAAAAGCTATACAGGGTCGTCAAAAAACTTTAAAAAAATATTCAAAATGCGTATGAAATTGTTTTTTTGTTAATTTTATGTTTCGCTGTTTCAAATTGACGGTGAAACTACCGACATAGGTACTTACACATCAATTTAATAGTCATATACAGGGTGATCATCATGAAATAACGTAGTTAAAATTTGAAGGTGCATAATAATTATGTGTTACAGGTGAACCCCGAATACCTAGATAATGTTATGTTTATTTAGTCTAATAATTTTTTTCAGGGATATTTAGGATTTTAAGTTTATTGTTAGCGTTTGGTTAGGCTTGTTTAGGCTTGTTTGGGTATGTTATATACAGACCCAAACAAACCTGAACAAACCTGGGTAATTCTATATTACCCAATATTAGGGTTTTACCCGTAACATAATTGTTACACTTATAACTTTTTCTCTATAACAACAATTCAAAAATATACAAAGAGGATCTCTCTAAAAAATATTAGTAGCACACCCCCAACATCTTTCCACCTTCTCCGCGCCCCCCACTCTAGCGCGGAAATTCAAAACCAAGCTCTGTGCATTTTGCGTCTGCGTCTCTCTCTGAAAACAAAAGCGAATTATTTGTACTTTTGTCTAAAGGTCTAATGGAAGAAAACTGTCACAAATATTGGTGGTCTTATGGCTTCTAAAAATATTTTGTCTGAACTATCTAGAAAATCGTGCCAGAATTGGGAGGAGAAAGTTGGGCGAATTTTGCTACATGTATCAGACATGGCCAGAAGTGGAGCCTAAAAGGTCATAGTTCCAACAGTCGATACTGATGTTGTGGTATTGTGTATTTCATTCATATATCAGCTTCAGGCTATGGGTTTAGAAGAACTGTGGTGGATTTTATTTGGGTCTAGGAAAAAAACGAAGATACATTGCAGCCCACAACATCGCTAATGAGCTAGGTACAGAGAAATGTATGGGCTTAAGAGGCTTTCGTGCGTATACTAAGTGCGACAGTGTATCCTTTTTCAGTGGAAAAGGCAAGAAAAGAGCATGGAAAACATGGATGGCATGTGAGTCGGCAACCGAAGCCTTTAGGTTTATATCTTTGCCAAACGACCACATTCCATGTCACATTTAGGCACTTTTGGAAGAGTTTACTTCGAAGCTAGAATCCGCAACCTCAGAACATCCAAAATTTGATCAGTTATGGAAACAGCTCTTCTGCACTGGAAATAGACCCTTACATCTGATTTCACCTAGCTCAGCTACACTCGCAGAACACTGTCTCCGAGCCGCATGTCAAGCATGCCAAATCTGGATAGATCGTTAGATATGCTTCAATGTGGTCCCCTTCTCCAAAGCTCTTGGGGTTGGACCAAACAACATGAAATGTGGGAACCCGTTTGGTCAAAACTGGCTTCCATATGGACAGCATGCAGGTAGTTGGAAAAGTGTGTCTGTGATTCCAAACGTTGTTCATGTCGACGCACCAGGTTTACCTTGCACACTTCAGTGCAAATGCAGTGATGCATGTTTAAACAAGAGGTAATTGACTAGGTTGGAAATTTTTAAAACATATACAGGTTACTCCTTTTTAGTGAAAATCATGAAGACCCTTCAGAATGAGATCACGAAAAATTACTAGACTGAGGGTTTCCATATTCTAGGTATTTTTCAATGACCCTGTACACTAATTTTTAATAAACTCTCAACAGAATCAAAAACAAATTCAATTTAATTGAATTTCACGACGCAAAATTAGTCGGAACTGAAATATTAAAAGCTAATAAGAGCTTTCAAAAAAAATAATTTATCAATTTACAGTACGCCTTTTTAAAAAATGGCCGCCATGTTGACGAAAACAGAAAATAATATCTTTATTGAATTCTACGACCCACACTTAGTCGAAAAAGACATCTTGAACACTAAAATCTGTTGACAAATAATAATTACCAATTTATGGTCCGCCATTTTGAAAAACAGGCGCCATTTTGAACCTAATGGAAAAACTAAATTTTTTATGAACTCTACGACCCAAAATTAGTCGAAAACGACATACTGAACGCTAGAATTTGTTGACAAATGAGAAATACCAATTTATGATCCGCCATTTTGAAAAAAATGCGCCATTTTGTGTCACAGTCAAAAATTGGGCTGGCCCTCCGGGTCAAATCTCTTAGATTAGCCTAAAATACATCTCTGCCAAATTTCATGCTTTTAGACAAATTTGCCAAATGGTTTGGACTAACCGCTAGTAGTAAGTATAGCACAGGACTCGCGATACTTGGACTGCTCCAGGTTCTACTTTATTTCCAGAGTCTCAAGTTTGTGAAGTAAAACCTGTTTAAATGTTTTCTATGGTACAACTTATAGAAATTCGATTTCAAATAAAACTGAATTAAAATCAGTCAATCGTTAATATCCTTCCAAAAAAAATTGCACAACAAGACGGAAATTATTAGGTAGAGTACAACACTGTAATGCAACAAACATCATCTTTCCGCCCAATGAGCGTAAAAAAGAAAACCCATAATTTGAATGGTTGCTTGCATAACATTAAAACCCAGAGAGAAATCAAGTCAATGTCTCAGATTATGTGTGTAGGTACTTCTAGAAAATAATAACTGGCCTTGTTTCGAGTTCAAAAGTTTCAAATTCTATTTTTTTTTTGCAGGTTCTCCACTGTTGCAGCGTCGTCCACGCATCAGGGAATCCTCGGACGAAGACCTAAGTGTCCCGTCCGCCTCTGAATCGCTAATAACGAACCCCCTGCCATTACGAACCGACGATGCGATGCAATGTGTTAGTACCACTGGCCAGTCGACGACTCTGCTGCACCCGAGTACCACTTCGTGTTGCAAAACTTGCGGTGGGTGCGCTTCTTCACCTGCCGCCCAATACATACCGGTACCGGTTCCCATTCCCATACCGTTTCCGGTACCTTGGGGTACTAATTTACCGCCCGGCAATTTAGTTTCGTTGCACAATAATAGTGCTAATGCTGATTTTTGGAAGTATTTCGCGCAAGTGCAAGGATTTCCGTGGTCGTTTTTCGAAAAACCCATGCTAGACGAAAAGTTGGCATCAGATAATAAAAATAATGTTGACGCGGAAGAAATTGGTGGTAAAAGTACGGATGAAACCGAGCGAGAAGAAGAGGTGCGTGATGAACCAGTTGGCCACTTGGACTGTGAAAATAGGTAAGTCATTAACCTTGTTTATCCTAGCTCATTATTATATATCAAAGAGCAATTCAATAAAAATTTGCTTGTTAGTAGGTACTTGCAAAGCAATTTTTATTTCAATACACGACTTTGGTAAAGGGCGGTACAAATTTTGTACTTTTCATTGTGGATAAATTATTGTAATCTAGTATAATCAGAGTGGACCCCGCAGTTAGCCAAAAGCCATTTGTCAAGGCTTGAACTGGTTACTCATGGCAATTTCCAATTCCAGGAGCCAGTTTTCTACGTTTATTCGCTGTCGCCCGATAACATTTCTGCTTGTTAATACCTAACAAAGCCAAAATCCACTTCATAATAATAACAGGATAATAATATTTTAGCTTGATTTCTTTGAATTTCCAATTTTTGTGAAATTATCGGAAAGTTTCTTCAGATGTTGCTAAACCAGCTCGGGTTTTTTCGAGTTGCCCAATATTTTCTGCATAAAGTATAGTAAAAACGTGGAAAAAATGTGGCGTTTGCTTTCTAAATACCTGTATGAAAAATTCAGTTGTCGAAAATTGTCGATTAAATGTGTACTTCTTTAATGCGCGCTGCACCATATATCATTAATTCTGTTCAATTTGTGGAACAAATAGGGTGCAGGTTGGTAATGGGTGGCTTTGAAGGCGGTTTGTGAAAAGTAAAGTCTCGTCGAAATATTTCGCCATTGGTTGGTTAATAAATCGAAATCTTCGATTTCTTTGGACAACTGGCCTATACGTATATCTTCACCAAAGAATATATTCTACTAAGAAAATGTGAATAGAAAAGCAAATTTTTATACAATAATCTACTTTTAAATAGAGCCATTGATGTTGTACTTGCAAAGCAATCTCTAAAGTTTCCATGACATACGACAAAGTCCGTTCCCAATAGTCTACGACTTTGGTAGAGGGCTCTATTAATCTTGTACTTTTCATCGGTCTCAATGTGGAATTTTCCAAATTTGGGATCGAGGGTTTCTCTGCCGTGCTCTTTCCCCTCGTGAGTTCCAGGTCGAGAACGGTACGATTTTCTTGAATAATAAATTAGACGTTTCACAAATGTTTCGTTTATTTTACATTTCACACCTCTTAAGGGTATTTGGTTTTCTGTCAAACTCAATGAAATTTTGATATGTGTTAGACCTTGATTTCCTGATAAAAAGTTCTCATGGGCCCCAACCAATCCTATGACTAGTTTTTGAGGTAGCAGAAAAAAAAATTCAACTTACGCACTACCCAATTTCAATAGATCCACACTCTTTCCTTGTAGTTCCAGTTCAGATATGGCTAAATCCTGCACGTAGTTTTTCGTCTTTTTCTTCGATATTTTTTAGTGTCATTCTCATACCGTAGGTCTTCTTCCACTGACCATTCAGATATAAGTGGTCCTGCAGAATAAAAAAGCCTCAATGCAAAAGTAGAAAGCTTGAAACAGAAATTTCTATAAACCCAATTGTCGAGTTAGACAGCTTAATTATGTTTGCGGGCGGTGATTTATTTTTGTTTCTTGGTAAGTAGCGATAATAATTTATACTTGGTGGGTATTAAACTAAAACAACTATAGTTGTAAAATTATAAATACATATATTATTTTTTGTTGTCCTGCTCACACGCCTCCACTGGTGATTCTTAGACTTTTTATATCCAATTTCCGCTGTTGTAATGTTATACCAAGTTATACTGACTCGAGGATTTTTGGATTTTATGAGTACTTGTCGCTATAAATCTTTCATTCACGATGCCTTTCTGTTTTATCTTGTATTGGTAGGTTAAGACAAAAGTGTTCATTAATTTGTTCAATCGTTTGAGAAACAAGTTTAAATACAAATTATGGTAGTTTGTGCCAAAAAATCCGGGCAAACAGAAGGAAAACTTCAGAATTTGCACTATAATAGTCATTATGGCTTCTAGTAGGAGACACACACTTGTGAACGTAGAAAGAAGAAAAACATTGCAAGATGTAACTATTAGAACAAAGAGCTTTTTGGAACCTCTGGAAACACTGGACACTGGAAAGTAAATTGCAAATCAAGAAACCGTATAGATAAAAAAGCAGTGGTTTACAAATCTTGAATAAGAAAAAGGGAAATGCTCCGAATACAGATCTATTTTTGTTACAACCCGTTAGCTTCGTCTAACAAAGCTTAGTTTCGTTTCGCTGGCCACGATCTTCGTCCAGAATGAGCTTCAGGCAGATGATCAGAATCCAACAATATTGGAAATAGCCTTGATGTAGGTATGTCTTGATATATTTTCTTAAAATAATTTTGTTTTCCACTTCATTTTGGAGTAAATTCCATCTGATTCTCTCAAGTTCTGCTTCGAGTTTTATAATTTTTTTGCTCTTTGGCTATGGATCTTATATATTAATGTTGGTATGTAAAGTTTGTTGTTTAGGCTTTTCAATTTGTGTGTGTAGTTTCTTGCTTCTTTCAGAATCCTTGAGGTTTCCTTCAAAACTTTCTCTTCTATTTAATTTAATTATAATTCCCCATATATTTTCGAGCTTTCTCTGACTTCCTCCAATCCTTTTCCTCAATGCTTTTCCAGATCTGCAATACAGGTTGTCCTAGCCGAGAGTGACCTATTTTAAATGCTTATAACTTTTGAACCAGGTGTGCTAGCTACTTGCGGTTTGCGCCATTCGATTTCTCTTGACCTAAAGTTCGTTTGATAGGTTGCAAATTTTTTTGGAATTTATACAGGGCGATTAAAAAAAAAAATCCGTTTTTCAACATCGAAATTCTCCACTATTTCTAATGGAACACCCTGTATATCACAACGGCAAAAAAAAAAGATTCACGTTCAAGGTATCCATGTATCAATAGACATCGTCTCTAAAACTTGAAGTTTTAGCCGTAAATAATCAAAATGGAAATCTTGGTATTTTTGCAAACGCATATTTTCAATGCTTGTAACTTATGTTTGCTTAATAAAAAGTTAATAAAAACTGCATAAAATTTATATAAAATGCTGTATATGTATATGTTTATCATTCCGTTCCAAGACTTTATGGATCAGTAAATGGTTGAATAAATTATGTAACATTTCCTGGAGAATCGCTTCAATGACATTACAAATGTTCCGGCTGAGATCGTCCAGGCTATTTGAGCAAAGTATTATTGCATCTTTCCTTGACATAACCCAAGAAAAAAAAGTTTAGATTTCTCAAGTCAGGAGAGTAAGGTGTCCATTCTATAGAATCAGCTCTCCTTATTCGTCTTTCCCCAAATGTCATATCTAGTGATTCCCATACTAATAAAGAATAATGAGGTGGGGGCACCATCCTGCTGAAAATAGATATCATCTGGAATATTTTCCTGTCTTAACTGTGGGAAAAAGAACATATCAATGTTTCTGTTATAATTGGTTCATTAATGAAAATGGTCTATATTTTTTCTCAATAGAGATTGCCCAACTAACTGTTACTGTTGGGGTATCTCTATTTAACAAGTTCTGGAGAAAACACTCTGGAACTCCTTAAATTTTAGACAGTTACAAAATAGGGAACTTGCACATTTTTTTTTAAATTTAAAAATGTGTTCTACTTCACTAAAGACATAGTCATGCCAAATATCAGGCATTAAAAATCAGCCGTTAATTTTTTATAAATATTTGAAGTTACGCCTGAAACATCGCCATTTGAAACGACCGATCAGTGTGACGTCACTCGGCAACAAAATTCGGATCACAGTGACGAGCACTTCGAACTTCAAGCAGGTAGATTAAAATTATGGTTATGTTGTTATGTATGCAGTTTTTGATAGATTTAACATTGGCGACACCAGCAGCACATGACGTGGCAGCGGCACGACCCGATTATTACTGCCTTGTGACGTCACGACCCATAGAAATACTTTTTTGATCGCGTCATGAATTTTGAATTATTTGGTATTTTCAATTGAAGATTTTGGACACCAGAGATAAGATATTAAATTTTTTTCCTAATTGCATCATTTATCAGGACGATTGTTATTGTGTTTTGTTATTTATTCCATATTTAATTTGATGTGCAAGTTCCCTATTGTTTGTCATAGTGATATCTGTGCAAAACCACATAAGGGAAGATTAATAAGTTGATAATTAGTGGACTGTATAATTAGGTGGACTGGATGCTCGACTGGATAGTGAACTGAAACACACGCGCTTTTCACTGACACTATATTTACAACAATTTACACAATATTTACACTATTTACAATTACTACAAGATGGCAAGAAGCCAGAGCTTGCTTAGATGCCCAACAGGGCAGAGCTAGATTCTAAAATTTATTAAAATGTGAAGAGGTTTCTGGATGCTTGTTAACGTGGACAAGCTCCAAGCTACACTGCCGCAATGACAAAAATGGCGCGCAATATATTGACAGACATGACAAAATAGACATGACGACAACGCTGCAGTGTTGCCAACTTTATATGTATAAAAATATTTTGCCATCAAAAAGAGATAGCATGATTGTTGGAACATGTTTCCATCAACAATATCAAGTACCTTCTTACAACATGAAGTTGTATGCATTTGTAAAAATACCAAGATTTCGATTTTGATTTCTTACGGTTAAAACTTCAAGTTTTAGGGATGATGTTTATGTTTATTGGTACATGGATACCTTGAACATAGTCTTTTTTTGACGTTGTGATATACAGGGTGTTCCATTAGAAATAGTGGAGAATTTCAATGTTGAAAAAGGGATTTTTTTTTACTCGCCCTGCATCAGTTACAAAAAAATTTGCAACCTACTAAAAAAAACTTTAGGTTAAGAGAAATCGAATGGCGCAAACCTCAAAGTGCTAGCACACCTGGTTTAAAAGTTATAAGCATTTAAAATGGGTCATTCTCGGCTGGGCTGGGACATCCTGTATTTGAATATTTTCATACCTGCAATTCCTTAGTTTGCGATGAAAACTTTCAAATAATTTATTGGTCCATGAATTTTCCAAGTATAATACCTTATTGTAATTCGTAGTTAAGAATTAGCATAGGTATAT